ACCCTGTGAGGTGGGTGGGGCTGAGAGAACTCTGACACAAACGGCTCTTTTTCAAGGACAGCTGTGCCAGAGCTTGTGACTGACCCAAGGTCACATCAGCAGGTGCAAGTGGAGGCGTGGGGAATCAAACCCGGTTCTCCCAGATTAGAGTCCGCGCACTTAACCACTACACCAAACTGGCTCTCCATAGAGAGGACTCTATGGAATTGTACCCTGCTGGGGTCCCTCCCCTCCCCAGACCCCGCCCTCCCCAGGAGCCACCTCCAAATCTCCAGGATTTTCCCAACATGGAGCTGGCAACCCCTTGCAGCTGTGTGTGGGGAGGGCATCCTGTTTGGCCGAAGGTGTGATTGGGGGTGGAGGCCTAAGCAGGAAAGGGGGGGAGTCCAGTTATTGGGCAGGGCTCTCAAGGCAATGGTGAGATGGAGCTAAGAGGTGGCGGGAGACCGAGAGCCGAACGTGAGCCTGTGAGGGAAAAGGACCAGAGGGAATGTGGTTAACTGCCAAGCCTGTAGCTGCAGTGGGGCATCTCAGGGCTAGGCCCCCTGACTTACAGGCAAGGCCCCCACAACTTCCCATCCAGCCCAGGGCCCCTGAGCGGCAGCAGGTGTGAGGAATGAGTCGGGTATTCCTTTAATTCAAATAGCCAGTGCCCCCGAAGAAATTCAAATGGCCCCTGACTTAAAAATTCCTGGCTACGGGCCTGTTAACTGCCCTGGAAGAGTGGAAGGCCGAGTGCTGTACAATTCAGTGTAGCCAATAAAGAGGAGTGAGGAAAGGTGGGCATCTGCCTTTTCCACCCATGGAGCCAAGACCACTACCTCCCCTGCTCTGGGCCTCCTTGCTGCAGGCTCTCTCTGCCTCACCCTCCCAGGCCCTGGTCACACTGCACAAAATGTACCAAGTGCACAGTTATTTCACTCGGCATTTCACTCGGGACTCAGAGGCATGGAAATTATGTCCCTCACAGGTGCCTGTGGGAAGATCTGGCCTTGACGTTCCAGGTACTCACAGCAAACAGTCGATGCTCTCTGTGGTGACTGGAGCCACAAATTCATCCACCTTGAAGACCCATCGCCCCGGCATTCCCACATTGGTGGTCCCCCCAATATTGAGGACATCAGGGGTACGGGAAGAAGGGATGTTGTAGTAATTCTTTTTGTCTCCGCTGTCAAATCCAGCCTGAGATACAGATAGAGGGAGGCAATTATGATATCATCCAATACCATAGCCCAGAAAACCTTGTTTTCACAGTGGGTTGTGCTGTATTTGGAGTGTGTCGTTTCTTTATACCGCCTAACCCTCCTTTTATGGGTGGGCCGGGCTTTGGAAGCTAAGCAGAATCGGCCCCTGTGCTGTCGAGGAATGGTAAGAAAACCACTGAGTTGGGGTCCTAGTCCTGGTATAAGAGGACACCCCATCCTGCCATATCTATGCTAAGTTTTTATGCAAGAACCTATGAATGGGGTGCCTCGATACAATCTCCCAGAAGAACAGGCCTTTAAACCCCCTTCTCTCTAGAAAGAAAACAGCTGGACCGGCTGGTTGTGCTGCAGTCATCCACAACTTGCAGTCTACCAAGCTGAATAAAGCCCACCAGCCATTTATTTTGGGCTGCCAAAGTGCCTGACAACTCCTCTCCCCTTAGGTGCACTTCTACAGTGCCCGAAAGACAGATTCCCTTCTGTGTCTCTGTGTAAGCTTCTATAGCCCTAACCTGGATGGTGCAGGCTAGCCTGATCTCTTCAGATCTTGGAAGCTGAGCAAGGTTGGCCCTGGTTGGTACTTGGATGGGAGACCACTAGGGGACTCCGGGGTTGCTCTACAGAGGCAGGCAATAGCAAAGCCACCTCTGATGGTCTCTTGCCTTGAAAACACTAAGGGGTTATCAGGGCTTTTTTTGTAGAAAAAGCCCAGCAGGAACTCATTAGCATAATAGGCCATACCCAACAGCAGGGACTCATTTACATATTAGGCCACACCCCCTGACAGCACAGCTCATTCGCATATTAGGCCACACCCCCATGTTACCAGAAGTGTGGTCATCCGACCACACCCACTTTTTGCTTCTTATTTTCTTTACCTTGTTTGTTGTCAAAACCCAGGGCTTTTTTTTTTTGGAGCAGGAACTCCTTTGCATGTTAGGCCACACACCCCTAATTGTAGCCAATCACAATGAGTTTCTGCTGTTGGGTGTGGCCTATTATGTTAATGAGTTCCTGCTGGGCATGGCCAACTTGGGAGCCAGCCGGAACTCCGTTCCTGTGCGTTCCTGCCCAAAAATAGCCCTAGGGGTCATCATAAGTTGGCTGTAATTTGACAGCACTCTCTACCACACAAACCCCTTGCTGTAGTGGAGATGAGACTGCTTTGCAGGAGAATGACCTTTTTCATGAGCAGGAAATGTGGCGCCGAAAGTTCTACAATGCATGATCACACCACAAATTGCTCAGATTTGGTACAGGCAGAGAAGCTGTGGGATTTGCCTTTTCGTGTCATTGGTTTAGGCTACCATGGCACAGAATTTTCCCCAAATCTTGCTATTTTGAGTGGGGGGGGCAAGGACCACAGAGGGCAACAGTGCTTCACCAGAACAATCCTAGATGAAGAAGATTGGATTTATACGCCACCCTTCACTGGAGTCTCAGAGCAGCTTACAATCTCCTTCCCCTTCCCCTCTCAATAACAGACACCCTGTGAGGTAGGTGGGGCTGAGAGAGCTCTTTCGGGAACTGCTTGTGACAGAACAGCTCTAAGAGAACTTGTGACTGACCCAAGGTCACACCAGCAGCTGCATGTGGAGGAGGAGTGGGGGAATCAAACCCAGCTATCCCAGGTTCTCCCACTACACCAAACTGACTCTCCTAAGCAGAGTTACACCCTTCAAAGTAGCTGCCTTACACAGAATTAGACCATTGGTTCACCAAGAGAGTATTGTCTATTCCGACTCACAGCAGCTCTCCAGCATCACAGGTGGAGGCCTTTCACATCACCTACTACCTGATCCTTTTGTCTTGTGACGCTGAGGATTGAACATGCGGCCTTCTGCATGCCAAGCAGATGCTCTACCACTGAGCCATAACCCTGACCCCAAGTTAGGGATGCCAGCCTCCAGGTGGAACCTGGGGATTCCCTGGAATTACAACTCATCTCCAGACTACAGAGATCAGTTCCCCTGGAGAAAACGGCTGCTCTGGAGGGTGGACTGTGTGGCACTGTACCTCGTTGTGGTCTGTGTCCTCCCCAGGCTCCACCCCCAAAGCTCCAGGAGTCCCCCAAAATAGATCTGGCAACCCTACCCCGTCATGCCCCTATGCACAAATAGTCTTCATTTACTAGCCAGCAGGAAATGGTATTTGTAATCCATGTTACGGCCCCGGTTGCCATAATGGCAGAAAATCCCAGGGAGAATGTATGGTGTATATTGATATCCAGGGCTATTTTTGGGCAGGAACGCACAGGAACGGAGTTCCGGCTGGCTCCCAAGTTGGCCATGCCCAGCAGGAACTCATTAACATAATAGGCCACACCCAACAGCAGAAACTCATTAGGATTGGCTACATTCGGGGTGTGTGGTCTAACATGCGAAGGAGTCCCTGCTTCAAAAAAAGCCCTGGGTTTTGACAACAAACAAGGTAAACAGAATAAGAAGTAAAAGGTGGGTGTGGCTGGATGACAACACTTCTGGTGACATGGGGGTGTGGCCTAATATGCTAATGTGCTGTGCTGTCAGGGTGTGGCCTACTATGCTAATGAGTTTCTGCTGTTGGGTGTGGCTTGTTATGCTAATGAGTTCCTGCTGGGCTTTTTCTACAAAAAAAGCCCTGTTGATATCCAATCAGTAAGGTTTATGCTCTCAAAAGTCAGTCCACTGACCAGATAACATCTATATTCTGATCTGGCTTATGTCACTCAGTACATTATTGCCAAGTCATTCATCATGGCTTGCCCCAGATCTCTGAATCCAAATTTATTACCCTCCAAACGGAGAATGGATGATAACCACTTCTGTACAGTTCTTCATTTACTGAGCAGGCATGATCATAAATTATAGATGACGTTTTACCAAATTCAGGGTAGTTAAAAAAAAAATCTGACCATGGAAGTCTTAAGATCCCCTTCCAGGATCTATCAATCAAAAGCACTTTTGTTGATGAGAACTCTTCCAGCGACAGATATCACATCCAGCTGTGTTGGTTTCAGTAAATCTTCCATGAAAAGTGGCACGGATTTGACAGATCATCTTTCATTATTTGATCGCTTCCCGGGAACTGACTGACTTGCAATTCCACTGAGCTTCCAATCTCTGTGTACATTATTTAGTATTTCATGTTTTAAGGGTTGTTTTTTTACACTTTGCAGTTTAGTTTATTCTATCGTAATCAATTTCAAGTTTCTGGAGTTACTGTGTTATGTGATGCCTTTGAGCAAAATGCACTAGATGCCAATAGTAATTTTGCATTGTAGGTAATGAGGCATTTTAGGTTGCCTGGTTTTTTACTTTTTGTTCATTAAATGTGTAGCTTGCTCCCTTACCCTGGCGGCTTTATGAAGTTGGACCTGATTGGTTTCAGAACTGCATCAAGGGCCTACAGCCCACCTTCTGTATCTTATGGTGAAGGAGCCCACAGTTACACTCAAAAGGAAAGATTTATTTACTTATGGGGGGGGGTCCCCAATGTGGCACCTGTTGGCACCATGATAGCTGCCAACACCTTTCCTGGCACCCACCAAGTGTTTTGGGAAAGTGGGTGGGGCCAGTGGAGCTTCAGCCCAGCAGGGCTTCTGATTGGCCACTGGAGATCTGATTCGCTGTGCTTTGGCAGCAGCTGCCGCCCCAACAGAAGAATCTGCACTGTGTGAATGAAGGTAAGCTGTCTGTATGCAAGAAAATATTTTTAAACAATATAAGGTGTCCTGTCAGAGCTCCTGCCTGAAAGGTTGATGACTTACTATGAGAGTTATGTATAACTTCACTGACTCCTGTGGTGGCCATTTTGTGGTTTGGCACCACTTCCTGTGGCGGCCATTTTGTGGTTGCACACACTGCCCTTGGTTGCAATTGTCAGCCTGAAAAGGTTAGGGACCCTTGACTTGAGTTGCTGATCATCCCTCTGAAGCCTGAAACACCCTCAGTTCAGAACCTCCCCCACCCTGCATGACATTTGCTATTATATAAGATCAGTCTATAATCACCTGTGCTGGGGTTCCTCCAAGGCCAGTCTTCGGATCACCCCCACTTGCCTGACCTGTGGTCCACTGAATATCAGCATAGTTCAGCAGCAGGAGAAAGGCTATGTCCCCATTGGTGGTCAAGACAGCTTGAAAAGTGTTGACCTACAGAAGAAAGCACTGACTGTTCAGTTGTTAGAAGCGCAAAAGGACAGCGTCACAAGAGAAGAGATCACCCAAGTTCACACTTTCTCATAACTTTATATAAAGTAACCAGGGGTCATTTCCTGCAGGAGCGCACAGGAGCGGAGCTCTGGCAGTAAAGAGCCCAGGGGGCGGGCACATGCAACAAGCCCCACCCTCTGCTCCCAGCAGCCCTCAGTCAGAGCAAGAAGCAGCCAGGTAAGTTGCAGAGCTCTCCCCACCCCCCTGGCCCAAAACAGTCCAGTGGCACCTTTAAGACCAAGTTTTATTCAGGTACAAGCTCTCCCTCCTCTGCCAGGACAGATCTGCACGTCCCCCCCCCAATAGCTAGCAATCCAAAACAGTCCCGTGGAGCCTGAGCAGTGGGTGTTGCCTTCTGATACACTTCCGGTGGTGCCAGGGAGTGTGGCATATGCAAATAGGTTATGCTAATGAGTTATGCTAATGAGCTCCTGCACCTCTTTTTCTACGAAATTACCCCTGAAAGTAACCATGAACTCCTCTGGGAGCACCACGGAGCCATGGACATCAAGAAGATCACCAAGAATTCCCCTTTCTGTGGGTAGCCACAATGAAGAACCTTTAGGGTTCAGTTCTAGAACCCATTTTCAAACCCATTCCTGGACTGTGACAAGAAGAGGGGACCTCTGAGCAAGCAGAAAGTGTCCTTCCTCCAATGTCAGGCAATTGACATTGACATTAATTAAGCAAACTCCGGAAGACGACGGAAGACAGGAGGGTCTGGCGTGATGTGGTCCATGGGGTTGTGAAGAGTCGGACTCGACTGTGCGACTGAACAACAACAAGCAACCGTGAAAAGTGAATTAGATTGGCAGGAATCAATGGATGCATTATTGACCAATGACCATAATTGTGAAAACTCTGCTGTGAACCTTTCAGAATGCTGTTCCTTCAAAAGGCGACCAAGGGCCACATAAAACTCATAGGAATCAGACCTGTAATTACGACAGAGCTGGGGAGACACTGTCCTGTGTAGGGTTACTGATCTCAAGGCTGGGCCTGGAGTTCTTCTGGTATTATAATTGATCTCTGTAGTACAGAGATCAATTCAACTGAAGGAAATGGCAGCTTTGGTGGGCAGACTCTATGGCATCACATCCCTACAGATCTCCCTCTCCTCCCCAAACTTTGCCCTCCCCAGCAGGGTGACGGGCAACCAGTGGCTGGCAACCAGAGGAAGTCTAAGGGGACATGGGGGGGGGGATACTGCCAGCAATTGACACTACTTCCATGGAAAACCTGAAACTGACATGGCGCTTCTCTAGGAATTGCCAGAAACCATAGTGTCCCAAGATTCCCAGAGAGGAATTATGTGAATTCTGGGTTTTCCTAGGAAGTGGAATCAGGCTGTTGCTGACAGAGGCTTCCCGCCCCCATTATTTTTCTCCCACCAGCCACAGGTATGGCAGTGGGAAACAAGGAGAAACTGGCAGCCCTGTTCCCCAGGCACTACCCCCAAACCACCCAAGCTGGGGTTGGCAACCCTGATTTCCTACCTGGATAAGAGATCCCCCCCCCTCCTTTTCACAATCTTTTTATAAGTGAGATTTAAAGAACAAGACCCTTTTTAGAGAATGTGAACCTTTCTGGATAAAAATAGAGCGACCGATACCCCTCAAAGGTGGTGAGGTCCCAAATTCTACTTACTCGATCAGCCCAGTTCTGCCATCTGAGACAACCCCACTGTTATCTTGATGAAGTGATGCTGAAGATCTTCCTTTAGCAACTATGATGAAGCGTGGCAGGGTGCATAAAGGAATAAGTGTATTCCTTGTGGTGACTGCTTGGGGAGGTATTTGGGCAAACATGGCAACTCGGTCATTTACAGTGCAATCCTAGGCAGAATTACACCATTCTAGGTGCATTCACTTCAGTGGACTTAGAAGGGTATATAACTCGGGTTGCCAGACCCTTACCTCTCATTTTCAGGGGGAAGGAGGGAGCCTTCCGGGAGGGGGGTAGGGCTCTGTCCTCAAACAGCAACATCGCCAATGTGATGATGTCATGCGGAAGTGACATCATCACGTCAGGGACATTGCACGGTTTAAGGGCAAAACTCTATGGTTTCACCATAGAATTTTGCCCTCTTTTGCCCTCAATTCTGTATGATGTCATTGTGTCAGCAATGCCGCGTGGGGACACCGCTATTTTGGGATGGGGGTTTCCTTTGCTGGCCAGTTGGCTGCTGGTGGGGACAAACTTCCCAAAAAGGGGGATCCCCCACTCGGACTTGGGGGCTGGCAACCTTAGGTATAACTCTGGTAAGGAATGCACCATCAGTTGCTTAACACGGTTCCAGAGACAGCTCATGCGGGAGCACCTTATATGCAAGTGGTGTTTAGCATGTGGGTCTTTCCCAAAGAATTGGTGCTTCACTTCCAGATATTACCAGCAATGTTCCCTCTAAGCTGTGGAGTCTTGTGAGCAAAAATTCTACTTTGTGAGCTACTGGCATTAAAGTTGTGAGTGCATGATTTGGCTACTACATACATTAGTTTGCTTTGGAGTCATCCTTCCTGAGCTAAGACAAAAATGTGTGAGCTGGAGGCTAAAAAACTGTGAGCTAGCTCACACTAACTCAGCTTAGAGGGAACACTGCTTACCAGTTGCAGCTTGGGAAATTCCTGGAGGTTTAGGGCAATGCCTGGGGAGGACAGAAATTGGTGAGGGTAGTAGGAGTTCCGACATTGGCTCAATAAATACTGGGAGATTTGGGGGAGCCGTGCCTGGTGAGGGCATAGTCTGGGGAGGATGAAATGTCACTTCCAGGTGATATGTTAAACTGCCTCCCCTAGTCTCTATGGTTTTTACTATAGGGATTAGGAGAGATTCTTAGAGCATCACTATGTGGAAGCCATTTTGTCTCCCACTCTGTTAGCCCCCAGATCACCCCTGCTGAAGGATAGTTCATAATGAACGCCCCTCATAATATTCCCCCCTCCCCAAAATCCTTGTGTGTGTGCTTGCATAGCCTGGCCAAAGAATAGAGCCAGGATGAAGTTGGGGTACATACAATGGAACTAAGATGGAGATGGAGCAGACAAAATGGATGCTGGCAAAGGACAAACCAGGACATGCTGTTTTGGGAAGGTGACTCTAAGGCATCTGCCTGCTAATGGTTTTCTCCCCACCTAAAAACAAAGAGATATTTAATCTCCATAATGGAATTCTCAGGGAAGGCAATCTCCACCCGATATGGCCTCAGCACATCTGGTCATACCATTCGTGTTCTGTTAACCATAATTTAGAGGCTATTCCTGTGCACTGATAGCCTTCCTCTCCCACAATCAAGGTTCGTCAGTGAAACATTAACATTAACATCTTCATTTTTGTTAACACTGCAACAGGAAACATTAACAGTTTCTGTCCACAAGGGACAGAACTTATCAGACAACCATTAGTTACTCTCATGAAAAACATCACAAGTTCCTCTAGGTCTTTGTCAGTTCCTGGGAACACCATTCAGTCTTCCCCAACACATTGTTCTACTTCCAGCAAAGAAGACAGGGATGGCAAAGGATGAGATGGTTAGACAGTGTCATAGATGCAACGAACATGAAATTGAGCCAACTTCAGAGGACGGCGGAAGATAGGAGGGCCTGGCGGGAGTTGGTCCATGGGGTCGCAAAGAGTCAGACTCGACTGTGCGACTGAACAACAACAAAGCTCATTAGACCATTGTTCTAAGGGGCAAGCACATTTGCATGCCCTGAGGTAGCACTTTGCCCTATAACTGGACATGCTCAGCCCCATTGCTGTGTCTGTGTTTTCCAGGACCCAAATTGCATGCCCAAGATGCTGGATGTCTTGTTTTTTAATTTTTTATTTATTTCATTATATTCATACCCCGACCTCCCCGCAACCCTCTCCTGGACCTCTGATCTTCCAGATTGGTAACTATAATTCCCCCCAAATCCTACTCTGTTCCTGCTCCCACCTATATTTCCTGTCAGCTTGTGTGTGTGTGTGTTTAAATGTATACTCTTAGTCTTAGTTCTGTATGTGTGCAATTTATTAGTCTTTTCTCTTTCAATAAAAAGAACCTTTTTCTGGTGAAGCCACTGCCTGGTTCATTTCTGAGAGCTTCTCTAAGGGAAAGTTCCCCATATAACTCTGGTAGGAGGATCTTGCTAGATTACCCCCCTCTTGCAAGCTCTGTCTCCTTGCTAATTCCCCCAACAAAAACAGGAGACAGCCCTTTGGGCAAGAAATAGCATTTGGGGTAACAACGTCTCAATTCCTTGGCGTGGGGCAAGAATTTGGCCTGGGAGTAAAGGGTCCGTGTGGGTAAAGGGGAGGCTTAGAGGGGGGACTGCTTGGCAGGGATTGGATTCTATGTAGCCCACCCTTAGGGTTGCCAAATCCATCTTCCACCCCCCGCGGGGGACTTTGGGGGTGTTCCTGGAGGGGGCGGGGCATCCCCGACGTGATGACGTCACATCTGGATCTCCAGAAACGCCAGTTCCCTGCACTTAAAGGAGCCGGCGTTTCCCTTATAAGTGCAGGAGCCAGCGTTTCCCCTTTAAGAGCAAAGAGCCGCGTTTCCCTTTTAAGTGCACCAAGCTGGCATTTCCCTGCAAGCCTGATCTCAAGCAGGCAGCCACCCCTCTCTCTCAAGAGAGAAGGGAGAGGGGTGGTTGTGGGTGTTGGGGGTGGGTAGAAACCTCCCCCCCCAAAAAAATGGGGGACCCCTGGCAAACCGGGGGGTTTGGCAACCCTACCCAACCTCCAAAGCAGCCATTTTTTATTTTTTTTTGCAGGAGAACTAATCTTTGTAGTCTGGTGATCAGTTGTCATTCCAGAAGATCTCTAGGCCCCACCTGGAGGCTGGCAGTTTTAGTGCTTGAGGCCAGGTAGGGGCAAGAAAGACAAAGTTCTGTCACTCCTTTCATCTGGAGGCTAAGAGATTCAGGCAAGGAATATGATTTGTCTGCATATGAAAGTTCAGTTAGGTGTTCATGCTGCAGACAGAACCTTTGCCTGAAAGTCCATGGTGACTCTTGGTGGCCCTGACCCAGTACCATGCTGATTCTGTGCAAAAACCCACATTATTTGCATTTTCTTCTATCATATCGGAATCACTCATGAATAAGTGGCTCTCATGAGGCTGAGAATACATTCACAAGGAGTCACGGGCACCCATCAATGAGAGGCCACCTACCTTCTTTGAAGTAGATCTAAAGTAGGCCACGTGGTCCCAGGTAGCAATGAAGGCCCAGATAGCTGTGAAAGGGATCTCAGGGAAGTATTTGTTGATATCTGTCGTGCAACGGCTAAGCACTGCTGGGTCCTGTGTCTGCCTCCACCAGACATCCCCACCCATCCGATTGTCGACATCAGCCCAATACGGAGCTACAAAGGGACTTCCACCATCCAGAGGGAAAGGATCAGGGGTGTACTGTGAGACGTTCACACCAAAGGAGACAACGCCATTGTTGTTAACCTGCAGGAAGGTGTCAGAAGAGGAAGAGGTGAATGTGTGAGTCTGTATCGATCACCTGATAGATAGAGAGCTAGAAAGAAGGATTGACAGTATGTCTGACATGAACTTAGTAGAAGAAGCATAAATATTAATAATTATTGTCTTTACTGTTTTTCCATCCGGAGTCATAAACAGCAAAAAACATAAATAAATTATAGATCCAGGTGGGCAACGGTGTTGGTCTGAAGCAGCAGAACAAAATTCGAGTCCAGTGGCACCTTTAAGACCAATAAAGTTTTATTTGCTGCAGAAGGAAAGAGATGTCAGGAAGAGAGGCCTAAATCAGGCCATTTATTGCCACCTTTGCCTGCGATGGGACCATGAAAAATGTGGTTTATTAAGCATCTACGAAGTTGCAAGAAATAACTGGCTTATGACTAGCTATGGGGGGAAGGGGAGTGGCAGGCCCAGTTTAGGTGAGATCATATAGGGTAGGTGTACTCAGCAAGGATACATCCGTTTGTTCAGGGCTTTTTTTGTAGAAAAAGTCCAGCAGGAACATATTAGCATAATAGGCCACACCCAGCAGCAGAAACTCATTAGCATATTAGGCCACACCCCCATGCTACCAGAAGTGTGCTCATCCAGCCACACCCACCTTTTGCTTCTTATTCTGTTTACCTTGTTTGTTGTCAAAACCAAGGGCTTTTTTGTTGCAGGAACTCCTTTGCATGTTAGGCCACACACCCCTAATGTAACCAATCCTAATGAGTTTCTACTGCTGGGTGTGGCCTGTTATGCTAATGAGTTCCTGCTGGGTGTGGCCAACTTGGGAGCCAGCTGGAACTCAGTTCCTGTGCGTTCCTGCCCAAAAGTAGCCCTGAGTTTGCTTAACTGTTATTCCCACTTTCAGGAAGGGAGGGAGGGAGGGAGAGCAAGAGAGCCCTCAGTACCACAACAAACTATAGCTCCCAGGACTCTTTGTGGGAAGCCATGACAATCGAAAACTATGAAAACTGATAGTCAGAACATGCCCTAGCTTTCTGACTGTCTTTATATGGATCCAGGATATATTGCTGAATGGCCTTCTATTCCTTTTTGTCTTCAGTTAGCAAAATGCACACTATGGATGTCTTGACTCAATTAGCCTAGGCTACCTTGCCCTTGGTAGATTTTGAAAGCTAAGCACGGTTGGCCTTGGTTAGTATTTGGGTGGGAGACCACCAATAAAATCCAGGGTCACTATGCAGAGGCAGGCAATGGCAAGCCACCTCTGAAATCTTTTTTCCTTGAAAACCCTATGGTGTCTCCTGAAGTCGGTTGTGATTTGACAGTACTTTCCACCACCAGACCACCTTGTAGAAAGAAACTCATACCTTGAAAAGCAAGTCAGGTTTGCTGCACTTTCGCCTAGACCACATTTGGTTTGTCAGATGAAAAGTCACACCAGATCACCTCTCAAAACATTCACACACTAATTTATTTGTGTAGAAAATACTTCTTCCTAGCACTCTCAATTGATTGATTCCTGAGGAGGCTAATGACAGCCGAGAAGTATAAAGGGCAAAAGATAGAGGCAGGCAAAACTTTTTCCCACTTCTGTGAGAGAAACAGGAAGACAGTGTCCCATCTGGCCAGGTATTACGTACATAGAGAGATCTGTATGCCTTGCCATAAAAGCTGAAGGGCACTGCAGTAGTAATTTCTGGAGATGTCCCATCATCTGACTTGGGGTTCTTTGTATCACCTTGGTCTGCCCCATAAGGATACAGCAGGGATTCTAGAGTAGGAGAGAATGTCATGTTTATTCTTGTAACGATCCTGATTGGCTACTCGTTTTGAAAGAGGCCAGACTGGAGGCAGGAATGGAGTACATCAGGGCGGGTCCTACCTTCTCCTTGCCCCAAAGCCAACCACAAACAAATGCTCCAATCAGGGCTCCCTTCCCACCTTAGGAAATGGCATTTCTTAGGGGGCTGGGTATTTGGCCTTGGAGCTGCCAGCTGCTGATCTTTGATCACAGCACCTCAAATCTTAAACCATCTGGAGTTAGATTGCTTAGAACGCTGGTGAAGGTCTTCTGCAAGATCATGTGCAAGATCATTGGTAAGGATGGGCACAAACGGTCTCATGAACGAAAGCTTGTGACGAATTTTGCCTGGTTTGTGGTTTACGAACTGACGAGCTGTCACTAACTTTCACGAATTTTAAGGCAGTTCGTGGAACTTTATGAAAAGCAGAAAGCAGGAGTCATGAACCGATACAAACTGGTTCGGTTTGCAAACCAGTCTCCTGGTTAATGGTTCGGTTCATGGTTCAGCCACAAACCAGGAACCACAATGAACTGCAAAAATGTGGTTCGTGCCCATTCCTAATCACTTACCCACAGTCCCTCTGGAAAGAGAGACCCTCTAAATTCTAAATCTTGCATTGTGCCATTACTGATAAATGTTAATGGGTAGTATAAGATAATTAGCACAAGCTATGCAGATCTTTCTGGGTATCAAGGATGCTCACCAGCATCCAACAATTCCCTCATTAAAATCTATGGAAAGGCTAATACCACCATTTTTGTACCCAATGAATGGACAGACATACAACAATATTTGGAAATCTGTGCCCATCTCGATGGTGAACCGATGCTTTCCCTAGGTTATTCTTCCCTAGGAGACAGCTCAACCACCCACTCCAGTCTTATAGGTATGACACATTTATTTGGCCCTAAGGAAATCCATAGCCCAAAGTCAGGGGCAGTCTTAGGCTGTGAGTGATCCTAAAATATTTTCCTGAGAGTACATCTAATTGAATCAAAAGGGGCTCACTTCTGAGAAGATCTGAATAGGATTACTCCCTTAGTGATTCTGTGCAAAATTCAAGGGTGCCCCCCATTGCCTTTATTCCCACTCTGAACAAGAACAAAGCACCCAGTTTTCACAATGCACATCCTTTAAAAAATGCACTGCTGAGTCTGCCTTTTGACTTGGCTTGATTTCCCAACACCATTTTCTGTCACCCTCCACCAGAGAGAGTAGTGCCCTGGGCCACTGCCCAGCCTGCCCCATAAGTAAGACCATCCCTGCCCAAAGTCAGTTCTCAAATGAACTGCATATTACCTTTGGAGTTCTGGACTGGAGAAGTCAGTGCTGGTCCTGAAAAGCAGCAATAAACAGACTATCAGGCCTAAAATCAGATTTATACCCATCCCCAAGTACAGTTGCAATTATTCATTTAAATGTCAGAAGCTGCCTATGAGACCATGGATTCTAGCGATAACAGAAGCATTGTGTGGCTTTGGATGTTATAGGAAATACCAGCAATGAGATCCACGGGTGGTTTAGGTTTCTGCTTTTGGTATTGGTTTTTCAAGGTGCAACAGGAAACACAGGCTGGGGGGATGCATATAGCTTGCATAGCTGTCCCATAAAAGTTTTCCTTTGGATATTGTAAAAGGTAAAGGTAAAGGTTCCCTTGCTCGAAAGCCAGTCAAATCCGACTCTAGGGTTCCGGTGCTCATCTCCATTTCAAAGCCGAAGAGCCAGCGCTGTCCGAAGATGTTTCCGCGGTCATGTGGCCGGCATGACTAAACACCAAGGCGCACGGAACGCTGTTACCTTCCCACCGAACTGGTACCTATTTATCTACTTGCAATTTCTTGCTTTCGAACTGCTAGGTTGGATATTGTAGTGGAAGCATTAAATGCTCATACACCCACTTGTGTGTGTTTGTGTGTGTGTATGGGGGGTTGTTTGTTTTGTTTTCGCCCCCAAGTCCAGCCAACGTATGGTGACACTGTAGAGTTTTCAAGGCAGGAGACGTTCAGAGGTGGTTTGCCATTGCCTATCTCTGTTTCTGGATTTCCTTGGTAGTCTTCCATCAACCTACTAACCAGGGATGACCACACTTAGTTTCTGAGATCCGATGAGACTGGGCTAGCCTGGGATATCCAGGTCAGGGCACTTGTTTCTAGGGATGAATAAATGTGTCTTGTTTCGTAACAGTTTCAGTTCACCACTTCTCCCTCTTGGTTTTGTAGACTCATTTATTCTGTGCATGCTTCTTGTCGCTTTGAGCCATAAGGGACAGGTGGGGTATAAATATATTAATAAATACATCATCCTGATTTGGCAGCACACAACGTTGAAAAACAGGTATACAGGACCCATTTGTTGCAAAGAAAGAAGACAACAATGCATAATTAAAGAGTCCCAGGCAATGTTCCCTCTAAGCTGCGGAGTCTTGTGAGCAAAAATTCTAATTTGTGAGCTACTGGCATTAAAGCTGTGAGCAAGTGATTTGCCCGCTGCATAAATTAGTTTGCTCTGGAGCCCTCCTTCCTGAGCTAAGGCAAAAATGTGTGAGCTGGAGGCTAAAAAACTGTGAGCTAGCTCACACTAACTCAGCTTAGAGGGAACACTGGTCCCAGGTTCAATTGGCCCAAGGGAGAAAGGAAAACCAAATTAAGATTTTTCTGGTAAAAATGGCAAGGAGTCATCTCTCCTTGAAATCATCTCTCCTTGTTGGTGCTTTGTTCAATGTCCAGACTGTCCCATTGATTTAGAAAATGACTAATATGTCAACTCATCCAGTTCCTTTTGCAATCTCTCTAGTCTAGATCCTTCCCTGACCCAAGCGGCCCAGGTTATCCCGACCTCCACCAAATCTTGGAAGCTAAGCAGGGTCATCCCTGGTTACTATTTGGATGGGAGACCTTGCTATGCAGAGGCAGACAATGGCAAACCACTTCCGTGCTGAACTTCTCTTGCCTTGAAAACCCTACGGTGTCGCCTGAAGTCAGTTGTGACTTGGCAGTGCTTTCCATCGCCTAGATCGTCAACAGCCAAAAAAACCAATTAGGACTAGCCAATCTTTGCAGGAATAAGCAAAGTTGCACATTATCTGGCAAAATGTGGGGATTCCATTCTCTTAGTTAAGAGTTTTGTGCAACTCCAGCACTTGTTATCAGATTTTCCAATAGGATTTGGTCCAGTCAGAGATGTTGTCACCTTTATTTGGATATCCATCAAATTTATTTCAAAGACAATTTCCTGAAGCTTACATATACAAACACCGGTTCTTATTCTGCCTTCTTTTTGCAAGTTAAATCATTCTTTCAGGCTGAGTACCCATTTACCAGTTGAAGACAGCTGAAAACCATCAGTCTTTTAAAAATTAAATTGCTGGGTTTATTTCTTTATATATAAATTTCTCTGAGGTCTCAGGCAGCAGCCTTTCACTCTGTCAATATATATATACACACACATATGTACGTATGTAGGCTGCGGTCACACGAAGCATTAGGCACGCTAGAGGGATGGAAGATAGGCGGATTTTCCGGGCACGATCTCACCACCACATCTGGGAAGCGTCGAGCTCCGGTGGCCAACCCGAGGCTTCCCGCGGAAGATGCGTGGTAAAAAACTAGTACCTCGGAGGTACGCCTGCCCGTGTGACCAGGACCGTAGATAGACAGGCAGGCAGGCAGGCAGGCAGATAGAAAGAGACAGACAGACAGACAGACACATACATACATATATAGATACACAAAAACACATACACACACAACCAAACTACCTTTCACTCCCATAAAGACACCCCGAGTCTTAAGCAGAGGAGAGGAAAAAAAGAAAGGAAAAAAAGTAAAAAAAGAAAGAAAGAAAGAAAGAAAGAAAGAAAGAAAGAAAGAAAGAAAGAAAGAAAGAAAGGGGGAGAAGAAATGGGGGCAAATATACACACACAACCAAACTACCTTTCACTCCCATAAAGACACCCCGAGTCTTAAGCAGAGGAGAGGAAAAAAAGAAAGGAAAAAAAGTAAAAAAAAAAAGAAAGAAAGAAAGGGGGAGAAGAAATGGGGGTAAACCTCATCCAAGTAGATAATAATAAGTGTTATATTAAGATGCATAGACCAACTATCAATCTTAAATGAAAGTCCTTTAAATTATCTGCCCCTTATTGAGAAAATGGTCTATTCCAAAGGCCTGATTTCACTTACCCACAACCAACAGAAGGAAGGCCCAGTGAGTCTCCATCCTGGTGTCTTACTTGGACTATTGTGTGTGTGTGTACACTGGAGAGACTTCCCACACCTCTTATGCATCCAGAAAATGTATCTGGGATAACTGATATATATGCTACCTTCCCACACCTAGCTTTACAGAAGGAGAGCAAACAGTTGTCATAAAGGACTGGGGGTGGGGGGGGGGAGGCATTAGCCAAATAACAAGCCATTTCATCATTGTAATCCAACTGCCTTTCTTCACACGCCTTTTTTTGAGAAACAGGCCAGCACCACAATAGATGGGGCTGGGCATCTTCCCAGGTTGAATCAGAGAGAGGGGGAAGAAATGCTCACCAGTGCGGACAATACATCAACACCATTCATATTGTTCTGAATGTAGCAGTGACGTGGTCCCCACCTAGACGGTACACAGTTCACGCTTGATCGACAAGATAATGATGGGTGGCGAGATCTCATGTTCCATTCTCATGGAACAAAAGGAGAGGGCAAAAAGGTGGGAGAACCAGGTAGCAGCCAGACGCACAGGCCAGGAGGAGGAGGAGGAGGAGGAGGAGATTGGAATTATACCCCACCTTTCAGTACCCAAAGGAGTCTCAGAGCGGTTTACAATCTCCTTCCCTTCCCCACAACAGACACCCTGTGAGGTAGGTGGGGCTGAAAGAGCTCTCTGAGGACTGTTCTTAAGAGAACAGCTGTGAGAGAACTTGACTGACCCAAGGTCACACCAGCAGCTGCATGTGGAGGAGTGGGGAATCAAACCCGGTTCTCCCAGATTAGAGTCCA